CTCTTTTTCAAAGAGCACCCTACCATTTCATCAGCTTTCATCCCCACAAAGCCCCACCTGCTCTGTACCTACAATCCACGAGGGCTCATTGAAGGAATGATGGAAGGAATGAATGGGTCTGAGTCCAGGAGGACACATCTTCTGTAAACATAACCCAGTCTCGTCAGTGACGAAAGGATCAGAGCGTGAAGGGAGCAGAGACCCATGTGAGTCTCTTGGGAATTCAAAATAGAGCAAGAAGAACTGGGAAGAGATCCTTCATAGGCATTATTGTAAGACTTTGTTTTTTCATAAGAGTTGTAGAATGAATGGATGGCAGAGTGAATGAAATACCAATGGTGGTCTCTTGCAGGGGGAAGGGTGTTCTGATGATCACTTTGCTCCATCCCTGTCACAGGTCAGGCTGCTTCCAGGGGCACAGTCTGAGAGAAGGACTTAGGAGCAAGAAGCACATTTGGAAAATGACCCCAGGAAGCAGGAGTCAGAGGTCAGAGAGGAAGAAACATTGAAGAAGAGACTAGTATGAGGTGCGGGGTTGCTCCTGTGCTGGGACATCTGGAGATGGATTTTGTTAGAACCAGCAGAGAAGGACCCACAGCACCTTCCAATCTGTCCTCCTGAGCACAGAGGCTGGAGCTTTTGTCCCATGCTGTGTTCGACTCTCTGACTCCCTGAGAGTGTCAGCACTTCTGTAGCTGTGGCTGTCCTGGTGAGCAGGCCTCCTGGGCTCCTGGAAGAAGGAGGATACCAGAGCAAAAAGCAGAGGGACTCCCACTGGACTGTGACTGGGTGCACTCGGTCCCAGGTAAATGAACACAGTCTTGCAGGGAATTGCCCACTGCAGCTGAGGCTGAAAGCAGGGCGAGGTCAGCATGGGATGGAGGCGACAGAGACCCCACAGGGATGGCTTTTCTCTAAATGAAACTGCCCCTTCTCCTGTCCTTCTGCTGTGTGATCACCAATCACCCTGGAGCCGCAACCTTCTGGAAGCATCACAGCTTCTTGTATGTCAGACTTCATGTCAAACAGGAAGTGCTGTTGTGGGTCCCATATTCAGTTTCCCTCAGAAACAACTCTTTGTACAATAGCTCACTCACCTAACAGATTATCAGAGGTCATTACTTGCATTTCAGAGGACTCTGTATGGGGACGTCTGTGAGGTAGGGAGAACTCACCTGTGCCTGCACTGATCCCTGCACCGCACTGAGTAGTGATTGTGCTGGACAAGGGAATTGTCACAGAGTTCATGGGCACCTAAGAACACTCAAGCCCATATTGTTTTATTAAGCAATTTGTTTTATTTGCTTGCGTGAAATCTATGCCAAACATGCATTATTGGCCCCACTTTATAAATGCAAAAATTCAGACAAACATCCGAGGCACCAGCCCAAGGCAGGGCAGAAGATGACAACACAGGTCTCTGAAGCTGGATCTCTTCCCTCTTCTGCCTGTCATTATACAGGTGGAAGGTGTTAGGCCAGTGATTTGCGTCAAAGCCAGCATGTCTGAAAGGGACCCTTGGGGCAATGTTCCCATTTTGAAGATGCCTCCTCACCAACGTGCAGAAGAGTGGATGACTTACAGCAAGGGTGGGAGTCAGCGTGGCCTGTGGTGGAGTCCAGTTCTGATCTGCGTTGCCTGCGCTCACTTTAGCAAATGCTCTAACCTCTCCAACAATCAGTGTTTTCACCTGTAATGTGGGTCGCACACCTACCTGACAGAGAAGGAGCAGTGATGTGAACAAACACGTGATTGACTACGGGAGTGGGCGGCTGTCCAGGTGAAGGGGGCAAAGGGGGCAAAACTTAGAGGCATGAGAGCATAAACAATAGAATGCTGGGAAAATGCTAATAACGAATGTAATTGAATTAAATGCACACAATGAGTAGGATTAAAGTCATCTGTGTTCCCCATAGATTCCCTCTGCACTCCGTGTATGCCTCCAACTTTCCTTCAATGGCCCTGACGCTCAGCTGTTGTCTGCAGCTCCTCACCTGGGAAGGTGTTGCAATTTCAGATTTTCTGACTGGAGGTGGTGGCTCTGAGGACAGGCTGAGATCCCTCACCCTCCTCTACCCCTTGCAGTGGTTTAGAAACACGCATTCCCAGCATGAGCTCCCATGATGCTGCTTGTTATTCCATGTGGGCTTCTGTTTCACTCCGAGAGTCTCCTGACAGACTGGAAATCCCCCGGGGTCACTTAGCTCCTCTCTTAGGGGAATATCATGGCCTCACCCTTGCTCTGTCTGGAACTATGTCAGGACAGACACATGTCCTCTGGCTTGAAGCTCTATGTCCTAGAATTTGATAGGGGATCAACCGTGCACCCTACATTTGAGGTGTTACCTCCTCATCTCAGCTCAGAGATTCTTGAAATGGGAGACAGTGTGCTCTGTTCTATCTCATGGACAAAAGCCCTTGCAGAACCATGGATCCAGGGTCTTGTTGACTTCAGAGGTGTGGACATGGAGGACGGACATTCATGGAATAGTTGGAACATCCAGGAGCTATAGCTCCCTGTCTATGAAATGGTGCACCGAGTGCTCCCCCTCTGTAAAGTGGACATAGGGTGTCCACTAGGACTGTGCACCACAACACACAAGGTGGGCCTCCACTGTGTCACTGAGGAGGGCTTCCTACCCTGTGCTTGGAATTGCACGGGGCTGGCAGAACTGAAAGAACATTCAGGAAGGCTCTGGCTCAGCTCAACAGGGCAAGGGGAGTGTTAGAAAACATCTAGTAGCATCTGTGGAACTCAGCTAAGGCCCTTTCTTATACTTGCAACATCCTCAGCTGGAACAGGGGGGTGTGGGTACAGAAAGCCATGGCCCCTGAAGGGCTATGTCTAAGCTGCAGGCACAGAGGTCGTGGCCAAGTCTTCTAGCTGCAAGGCTCACACAGCCAGCTCTGAGCGGTAGTCACTGAACACTTTGCCTTTGAAGGGTTCAGAGATATCTCCTTTCCCATACCCCTGCTGTTCCTAATACTGAGTTAGGATCCAGGGGACTTTCCCTGAGCCTGCAGATACAAGTACACACTCTTATGTCTGAAGATGGGGTGGCATTTCAGAATGGCCTTCCCACCACAACCTTTGATGAGGTGTCTAGGGGACTGGGTGACTCCAGCAGCCACTGACTCTGTGGAGGAAGGAGACAGAGCTGAGACAAGCCCAGGAGGCAGATGGACACTCCAGCAACACCCAAGAACATTGGGGTGGAGGGACCTCCCACCTGAGCTGAGACTCACCTGCCCCCAGGAGACACAAGGCTGCACAGTAGAGGAGCAAGCTGCCCCTGGAGGATTCAGGAAGCACAAGACTGGCCATGTGCCTGCTCAGGGCTCTGGTCTTTGGGGTGAAAGAGCAGAGGTTTCACCCCTCCTGTTGCTCTGTTTGCAGGGCTTGCCTGTGATGTCACTGTCTGATATCACTGTCTGTGTAGGTCCCACACACTCTGCACCCCCCAGACATGGTCTTTGGGCATAGCCTTCCCTGATTCTGTCCATTTTTCTATGAATATGTACAGCCGGCTGTGCTGAGCTGGGCCCTGCAGATGTACTGGGCGGGAGGCCCGCCCCATAGCTTCGGAGCAGGTGCTCCTCTCTACACCTGGCTTGGGTTTTCCAGGTTGTCTCCCTGCAGCCCCATCACACTCTGCACCAAACACAGGCTCCAAGAGAGGCTGTAATTCCATGCAAAACGAACTTCATGGCTCCCTGCTGGGACAGACACCTGCATATCCGTTCATGGAAAATGATATGATCAGCAAACTGTTGATTCATCAGATAATTTCCTTAATGCAGGGACCAAGCCAAGACTCTCCTTCTTCAACTTCCGTCTCCCACAGGGTGCCCTCTGCATCTCACTCTGTGGATCCACAGCGCCCTCAAGTGGCCACTTGTGCATCAATGCTGTTGATACCTTCTTTGCTAGGGAGACTGTGAACCATGAGCAGAAGGGACCACAGGGTTTGTGAGCAGGAAGGAGGTGATGGTGACACACTGTGGTTGCACTGCTGGCACAGAGGTACACGGCCGAGTCCCCTGGCTCTGCAGGATGGATGCTCAGAGTGGAGTAGGAGCCTTCAGGTCTCACAGCAGAGAAGCGATCGTTAGGCATCCCAGAGGTGTCCGGGGCTTCCTTGCTTTGAAAGTACATCAAAAACTTCGGGCCCTGCCCTAGCATCTGTTGGTACCAGTAAAGGCGAAAGTGGCCAGAAATTGGATCACACCGAAATGTCACATTCTGTCCCCTCTTGGTGACCTTATGCCTGGGGGACTGGGAGACTCCAGCCTCTGTGTGACCTGGGGACACAGAAGTTGACAAGAGAATGAAAAAAACAAACATAACCATCACACACACACACACACACACACACACACACACACACACACACTAAAAGTACTTGGTTTTCTGAGGACTCACCGACCCCCAGCAGACAGAGGGTCACCCAGCAGAGGAGCCTGGTGCCCATGGCAGGGTCAGGACAGGAATGCGAAGACGATCAGGTCAGGTCCTTGTGAGCAGGAGCAGAGGAGGAGGAACATCCCTTGTCCCCACAAAGAAGCTCACAATGACATCACTGCCTCTGTCAGGCCCCTTGAACTCAGGGAAAAGCAATGCACATGACAGCACACTTGGGTGACTCGTTTAAATACTTCCAAGCTGTCGGGAAAGAGGCTGACAATCCCTGATGGCACTTGATCTTCCCAGGCCTGTTCATCTAGACCAGAAAAAGGAAAGCCAATGTGGGCACAACACTGTTAGCAGCGGGCAGTGAGGAAATTCCAGGTGTTGAGGAACAGACTTGAGTGATTTCTTGCTCCTCAGGTTATGAAATGTGGGTCACAGAAATATTCCTTCCCATCATGGGTATAAACACAAACAATCATACTTAAGCTGCACGATGTCTGTGAGCACTAAATCCTATCCCTTCTCTAAGCAGCAGAACCTCGCCTGGCAAAGGCCTGAGCCTGCCTGGCTGGCAGCAGCCACTTTGCACTCACTTCCTGAGTGGGGCAGAGTGTTTTTGTGCAGGCAGCTGCCACTCCTGCAGGGCTGTGTCAAGGCTGCTGGCACAGAGGTACAGGGCTGAGTCGCTCAGCTCCAGGGAGCTGGCATTCAGTTCAGAGCGGGAGTCACTGAACTGCTTCACTGAGAACCGATCAGGCATGTTCCCTTTACTTCGCTCTTGCCCATTATAGTACTGAACGAGGAAATCGGGGCCCTGACCCTGGGGCTGTTTGTACCAATACACAGAGAGGTCTCCAGAGATATAGGAACACTTCAGTGTCACTTGCTGTTTTCTTGCTTTGACCAGGTGTTTTGGGGTCTGCATAACCCCAGAGTCTGCTGGACCTGTTGGGAAGAGACAGAGAGAAGTCTGGAGACAGAAAACAAGGAGCCTCCCCCAGCAGCCATCACCCCAGGCTTCTATGTCAGGGATGTGACTGCGTGTCCAAGACTTACACACAGTGTCCAGGGCTCACCTGCTTCCAAGAGACAAAGGGCCACACAGCAGAGGAGCCTGGGGCCCATGGCAACTTCCTAGGACCTGTCCCAGCTAAGGGTGGGGTCCCTTGGGTTGAGCGGTCTACAGTCCTGTACTCCCTGTACCCTGATAGGAGCATTTGCTATGATGTAACTGCTTTGATGAGACTCTCCAAGGAGGCTGCCCCCTGGTTCTCTGAACCCTTGGTGGGAACCAGGGTCCAGAGTCTATTCATCACTCTGTGCCCTGGAGAGCCCCACAGCTAAGAATTGCCTGTAGCTTCAACAGTGTACCCAAGTACCCACAACACTGTCCCTGCCTGCCCCTGCCTGAACCAATTACCAGCCCTTGCTGCTGACCCTACATCTCTCCTTCCCCTGCAGGCTCAGGGACAGGTCTCCTTGGTGATTCCTAAGGTGTACGCACGTCCCCTCTTCCTGGGTAGGAGGAGCCTATACCAGCTTCAGGCATCCTAGAACCCCTTGGTGACTCCAGCTGCTTCCCCCTGCAGACATGTGGGACAGAGGTTTGTTCACTGTCCTCTCCTGGGTCACTCCTGGTTTCCTACAGTCTTGGAGAACAGTTAATTCTCTGTCTCCACCTGCCCCTGCCAACATGGCTGCCTTGACCAAATCCATCTACAGTGGGTCTTTTAATGTTTAGCGGGGCTTCCCACCCATTCCACAGCTGTAAGGAGACTGGCCACAACTGAAATCTGCCTCAGCATCTGCCCTGTGTTGGATCCCTGCCCAGGTCTTTTTAACCCTTTCCTGTGCTATCAGACTCTCCCTCAGCCCTTTCCAGGTCAATGGCTTCACAGCACCATCTGCTGGCCAGTAACTGACATCTCATTACTGTGTCTTCTGCCACAGCCCAAGGGATGCTGGGACTGTCTGGTTGGCGTACAGGCTGCAGATGCCAGAAGCACTATCCTCTAAATGGTATCCCAACATCCTTAACCCTAATCCCAATATTAATTCCCACTGTGACCCTATATCCTCCAGTTTCCATGCTTAGTATCCCAACCCTATTCTCCTGAAGCACTATCACATAATCTACAGCTACAGGCTGGCATCTGCTTCCTTCAAATTGTCTTCTGAAAGGCAGAGGGAGAGGAGGGGATTGGAAGGAAATAATGCTTAGTCTGAAGTAGGAAAAAACATCCAAGTTGAAGTATGAAGAGTTTCTTCTATCCCCATGCCAAAAGCAAAAATAATGCAAAAATGCAAAAAAGAAAATGGGTTTCATATTATCTTCAAAACGTAGATCAGCAAAAGATTGGGAAGATAATGACATTATCTTCAAGATGGAGTCAAATGTGTGTGAATAAAATTGAAATTGAAATACAAGTAAAATATAACACATAAGGTTTTTTAACAGCCATGGAGATAAGATACCTAATGGGGAACTGTGGATGCTGGAAGTGAGACCCCAAAGCACAGTCCACACAAGAGGAACAGCCTGTCCAATGGGCATCTGCTCTGTGAACTTGGAGTTGATTCTGTGTAAAACAGCGGCATTGTGGGGTATAAAAAAACACTGGTACCAAATAGTATCCTAAGGAAGTGGAGTTGGCCAGGGTCAGGTGGTGGGCGGTGGCATAAATGGAGAAACAGTCCAGGAAGGGGTCCCTGGTGGCTTCACAAGGGCGGGAGCTGCCCTGGGACCCCAGGCCTTCCTCACTCCCAGGAGGCACAGGGACCTGAGCAGAGTTCAAACACGATCCGGAAATGTCCCTTCCTGGGACTCTCATTCCCTGGGTAAACAGATTTGGTGTCATGGCTACCACCATTTTTAGGTGGGTTAGAAGGGGTTGTCACAGTCCTTACTTGTTATGCAAGGCTCAGGGCACCTCAATCTCAGCTCTGTCTGTGACATCCAGTCTCAGTCTTAGAGCTGAGGGTTACCTCTCAGGACTCCCAGAAACCCATGATGCAAAGGCCTATCCCCTCTGCCCATGGCTGGAGATTTGCCAGGTATCTGCAGCTGCCTGCACAGACAGGGGTTCAATTATTTATGTTTATAACAAGTAATGTATACCTACATAAAACATAAAATAAAAAGAAATAATGCATGTTGTGAATAAAAGAGCACATTATATCGAGATAAAGACTTCAGGGAAATTACTTCAAGTCAAAATGAGAGGACACCAACAAAACCCTCATCTCTAGAAGGAAACCATGGGGTCAAGATGAAACCAAGAGGTCGTGGAAGTATGCTGCAGTCTGACACTCAGGGTGGAATGGATTGAAAATGAGAACGAAATAGAGTGTGGGCTCCTGCAGCCAAACAGGGGACATGAAACCGTTTTGTGATTACTCAGGTGATTCTCACTCAATGGGCTCAAAAGCTGTGTAGACCTTCACTTCCAACAGGAAGGAACCTTTGACAAGTTGCTGCAGAAAGCTTCCAATGGGAGCTTTTTCAGGGAGACTTAGAAAACGATGCACAGGAAGAGGGTGCAGATGCAGCCTCTTTTCAACATTTCAGATGCAGACAAGCTCTGAGGTGCCACCATGCTGTCTGCACAGGCACAGAGCTGTGTTCTGGGCCAAGGCTCCCAGTCCTAGCAAAGACAGTTCATGTCCATACCATTCAGTCCATCCCTTGGAGTCCTGAGCTGTCTCTGTGTGTCCTCGTCATTTAATTATTTCATTTATTTACTTCTAGAGCAATGAGAGGAAATGAGGCACAAAGGGAGAGAAACATCAGTGTGAGAGAGAGATATCAATCAGTTGCCTCTCACATGAGCCCCAATGAGGATGCAAATCTACAACCCAGTCACAGGCCAGGAATCGAACCAGAGAGCCTTTGGTTGGCAGCACTATGCCCAACCAACTGAGACTCACCAGACAGGGCTTTGTTCTCTGTTCCCAAAGGACAGCTGATGTTGAGAACTGTGTCTCTGATTGGGGAATGATGAGCAAAGAAGAGCTGCTTTCCACTGTGGAGCTTCATTGAGAGAGCAGTATGAGGGTGTGTTCCCACAAAGGGGGTGATGGTGCCACGATGGGGTGGAGCTGCTGGCACAGAGGGACATGGCCAAGCCCCCTGGCTCTGCAGAGTGAATCCACAGAGTGAATTAGGAGCCCTCTGGCCTATCTGCAGAGAACCAGTCCTTAGGCATCTCGGAGGAGTCGGGGGAATCCAGGATTTGAAAGTACATCAGAAACTCTGGACCCTGTCTCAGGATCTGTCTGTATTAGTAAAGATCAAAGTGTCCAGAAATGGAATCACACCTGAGGGCCACACCCTGGGCCCACTTGGGGACAAGTGGAGTGATGCCCAGATAGATATCTGAGTTGGAAGCTCCAACTCCTGCAGGGCACGAACTAATGCCCTCTCTCTGCTCATTAACCTCCACATAGTATCTTGTCTCCCCTGCCCATAGAAAAGCCTCGTGTCCTCCTTAGTCACCATGCAGAGGTTTCTCATAACTTGTGTCTGCAGGATGACTCAATGTCCTGCACCTTTAACACGCCTGTATGTGACACTCAAGGGGATCTACGTGGATATGCTGTTCATGAATTCTCACCTTGGAGGCATCACACTCAGGCTGATGACAAGAAAAGTTAGAAATAGCAACCACCTTCCCAGCTAACACACCACCTGCCAGCACAGACTGAGAGATATCAACCAAGCAGACCCTGGTGTGTGCCCAAGGCCCTGGATATCGACCAGGCCTAGGAGACAGTAACCTTGAGGGGGACCTCATCACACACTGAGGGTCACCCTGCAGATACTGGACACTCGGAGCTCCAAAGATGTATCAGAGTGCTCAGGGGTCACATGAATCCAGAGTGCAGAGCCTCAACCATATTTTTTGTATAGAGAGAAGGTGGCCATGCAGTGCTGTGGATTCACCATTTCTCTGCTGGCACAGAAGTACACAGATGTCTGGGAGGGGGTGGCCGACTCCAGCATGAGGAAAAAGTCCTCCATATTCAACCTAGATGCACTGTACCCGTCAGCATCCTCTCCTTTGCTGGTGATCCCAACACCCACTGAGTAATATATTCTCCTCAGCCCATGGCCCAGGTCTTGTCGATGCCAGGACATAGCATTATGGTTATCAGTCTGGTGACACCTCAGTGTCACCATTTTTCCTGTCCCTGTAATCTTGTACCTTGGACCCTGAGTGATTCCTGCATCCAAGTGTCCTGTAGAGAGAGTGACAGAGCCTTAAGTTGTCATCCTAAGACCAAGGCTTGGACTGAATGCTGGGAATCCCAGGGAAGTAACCCCACCTGCACCCACCTGCCCATAGGAGACAAAGAGCCACACAGAAAAAGAGCCTTGTGACCATTTCAGGTCCAGTGCTGAATGTCACATCTTCCAGTTCTGTTTGGGGAAATACAAGTCAGCCTCTCAGGGACTCAGTGACATCACTGTTCTTCACCAATGTTTGAGCTGCAGAGCTAACCTGCCATACCCCTTCCCACAGGAACAAATCAGTGACACAGAGACAGTTGACAGTTCAGCATGGGAAAAATGTGAGAGTCAGTTTTTTAAAGAAATCTTAGCAGTACATATGCTTTCCCCTGACTTTTGGGGAGGAAATTTGTTCTTCTATCTATTATGATACAATTCCTTATTTGTACACTGTATAATTTCCCATTGTATTACTGGAGACTAGAAAATGTTCTCATAGCAACTGTCATACTATGGATGACTTCTGTGATCAATTTTAACCTGAAATATCTTCTTCTGGCTTTTTTCTTTGCATAAACTCTGGATAATTTTGATATCAACCCACAGGGATCCTTTCTATTTAAGGAATTAACTGTTATCCAAAAAGTTTTCACAACCTCAGGGTCATAATCATTGGAATCTGAGAATTATTTTAATCACCAACTGGTAGATCCCCGTCGCCTGCACTCAGGTCTCTGGGTGCTGATGGGTAAGAGTCTCCCTCGGTTCCAGCTGAGGCCCCAGGAGACTGGACACCTTTACCCCTGTGACTATGCTTTCTGTAAAAAAGAGAGGAACCTTGCCAGTGATGTGGATGAGGTCCTCGTGCTGCTACCTCTTACACAGGCCATACCTCAGTGTGAGGTGACCCTGTCTCTGTGACTGTGTATCTGGATGTCATCTCATTTGGCAACTTCAATCACCCAGCAGCAAGAAAGGACTCAAGAGTCAGGTACCAGAGGTAAGAAAGAAGTTGAGGTATCATCTCATGGACAGGCTTCCAGCTCAGGGC